TGCCCCGTATTTCACAATTTGGAAAAAAACCTCTTCGGACTCTTTTGCCCTCACTTATTGACTTCATGCCTTAACGTCTTGGACTATCTTCACGGATCTCAAACCAGGCTTCCCTGGGAGAACCAACAGCCTCAGCCTGCGTGTGCCTTCGCCAGGAAGACCACGATTCTGATGGAAATGAAATGCTTTTATTATCAAATATTATTGTTTTCTTTTAATAAACTTTGCTGGGATAGGGACGGGAATCCATTATGAAATGTATGAAATGTATGAAGCATGAGAAAATGTTTATAATTGATATCTATCACATAAAATGCACCCTGACTCTCTCCCCCTCCCACCTTTCTCCCTCTGAACCTTGCCCCAGAAAAGAATGTGACCTGAGGTTATTGTCAGGAGGAAATCCCATTTCCTCAAAAGTAAATCCATTCATCTCACATCTGCATGGGGCCGTGTTTTGATCCTGTCTCGAGGCTCATTTTCATGGTAGACGATGGGCTGAGAGATAGGTCAACAATAACTCCGGTGCAAGTCTGATTAATCCAACTCATGGTATTTTGTGAAGCTCCTTTGTCAACAGGGTCCCCTTGTTTACAGAGTTTTGATATCCAAATGCCATCAATAGCTCCTTTCATATTTCCCCACAAATCCAATCACCGGACCAGGAAACTCTTTGTTCCTCCTGTCTGCCACCCCGCCGATAAGAACAAAGGCTCGGAAACAGCTGGCAAGTGCCCCCTGGGCATCCCATTTCCCGTGGGCTGTCAAACTCCGTCCCGCCTCCTGGCTGCTGATTGGACCATCCTCGGAGGCGCTAGGGAGCCGCTGATTGGCGGGAGGCGGGATGAACAGCCAAGCCTCCTCCCAGCTGTCCCGCGGCCAGCCAATCAGGGCGAAGCTGGCCACCGGAGGGCGGGCGGGATTTTCAAACTGTTTTTCCTTTGTTCTGACAATATAAAAATGCCTGTAACTGTAATGTATGCTTATGGTGGAATTATCCCTGTAACGCATCCTTTTCAGCTGAATCGCAGAAATAAAACGCTTCGGTCACTGGATACCTCTTCAGCCTCTGGTGAGATTAATTCTTAATATTCTTGCGCTTTGGATTGGCTTTCGCTGGCTGCTCACCGAGGTCAAAGACCCCTTTAGCGGTCTTCTGGGATCTTCCTCGCTGGGAGAACCCCACAAAAGAGCTCGATATCAGCAACTCTCGCTCCATGTATTGCTGGAGTTTTCCTTGCAGGATCTTGAGCATTACCTTACTGGCATGAGAAACAAGGGCCACTGTAGGATGGGTCTATGGACCGTAATAAAATTGTTGTTGTTGCTGTTGGTGGTGGTGGTGGTGTTGATTCTTCTTTACTCAAACGTGAATATGCTTCAAGGAAGCATCAGAAAGGACCTGGTAGATACTACAAAACATTGTATATGAATCCTTTGAATCAAAGACAATTATGGAAACGATCAGGAAAATAGATGTCCATTATTGTCCTTGAGATGCCGGCAGTAATGAAGGCAGGAGCATTTGGAGTGGAATCTATTCTGTGGGGGGAGAAATGTGGGATGTGGTCCACGAAGAGTGTTGATGCCTTCTCAACAATGTGAGTCATGTGAAGGTAAAGCCGGGGGCGAGTCCACTTGCGTGGCTGGGCCTGTGGAGAGTCTCCCCTCGCGGGAGCATCAAGCCAAGGCTGGCTCGGGCCAGAAGAGTGGGGAGAGCTCGCTCCGGGCGGGGGCGCCGCAGGGGGCAGGTGAGCTCCGTCGGGGCGGGGTTCAGGAAGGCATGCCTTGGTCCCGAAGGCGAGGGGGAGGAAGCGGAGGCGGAGGAGGAAGAGGAGAAGCAGAAGAGCTGCGCCTTGGCTCCCGCTCTCTCCCGGCGCCTCTTCTCTTCTCTTCTCTTCTGCAAGGGCACCGGCGGGGCTGGCTCCGGGCCCCTTCCCCTCCCTGGCGGAGGATGGGCGGCTTCTTCTGCTGCTGCCTCTCCGCCGAGGAAAGGGCCACCCGGAGCCTCAGCCTCGAGATCGAGCGGGGGAGGGGGGGGGGGGGGGGGGGGGGGGGGGGGGGGGGGGGGGGGGGGGGGGAGGGGGGGGGGGGGGGGGGAGCCTCAGCCTCGAGATCGAGCGGCGCCTCAGGCAGGACAAGCGCGACGCGCGCAAGGAACTCAAGCTGCTGCTCTTGGGTGAGTTGAGGCCCGGGGGAGTTGGAGGGCTCCGGCCGCCTCTGGCCTTGGCCTCCCATCATGCGAGACCAGGCCAGGGCAAACCTGGGCCCTCCAGGGGTTTTGGACTTCAACTCCCACCATTCCTAACAGCCGGTAGGCTGTTAGGAATGGTGGGAGTTGAAGTCCAAAACCCCTGGAGGGCCCAGGTTTGCCCACAGGCTGTTAGGAATGGTGGGAGTTGAAGTCCAAAACCCCTGGAGGGCCCAGGTTTGCCCACAGGCTGTTAGGAATGGTGGGAGTTGAAGTCCAAAACCCCTGGAGGGCCCAGGTTTGCCCACAGGCTGTTAGGAATGGTGGGAGTTGAAGTCCAAAACCCCTGGAGGGCCCAGGTTTGCCCACAGGCTGTTAGAAATGGTGGGAGTTGAAGTCCAAAACCCCTGGAAGGCTCAGGTTTACCCACAGGCTGTTGGGAATGGTGGGAGTTGAAGTCCAAAACCCCTGGAGGGCCAAAGTTTCCCAAGCCTGTTCTATAGCATGGAGCCATGGCTTAGAGTGGTGTCACACAGCAAAACAGCTGCATCTAACATCATGTGCTGTTTATACAAAGAGCTTTGGGGTTCCAAAAGAAGGGTGCCAACGTTCTCTCGCTCTCTCTTTTGGGTAGGGTTGCCATATTGCCTTAGTCACGCAGGATTTGCCACATATTTTGCCCTTGGTATGTGCTGGGATGCCAGTGCTCCATGCAATCATCCTGGCCACATGACTTTGGAGGTGTCTACAGACTACGCCAGCTCTTCGGCTTAGAAATGGAGATGAGCACCAATCCCCGACTGGACACGACTGGACTTAATGTCAGGGAAAATCTTATGTGCTGGGATTTTAAGGATACGAAGTGCATTAATTTGATAATGTAGGTCAGGTTTGGGCAAACCCAGGCCAGGGTTTGCCCAGGGTTCCCTTCTTTCCTCCCTCCCTTCCTCCTTCCTTCTCTTCTACCCTTTCGTCCTTCCTTTCTTGCCTTTCTTCCTTCCCTCTCTCTTTCTCCTTCCTTCCTTCCTTCCTTCCTTCCTTCCTTCCCTTTAGTCTTTCCTCCCTCTCTCCATTCCCTTCCACCCTTGCTTCCTTCCATCCTTCTCTTCCTTTCCTCCTATTTTAACAAACAAATGTAAAACTCTTAGGCTGTGGGAGCATTGAGTCATGACAGTGAAAGTGGTGTCAATGTGCATTCATTCTGCTGTGGAGGTGCACCCCAAGTGTTTTCCCAGTTACAGTATGTTCAGATGCCTATTCAAGAGAAATCACAAATATGGACAATATTGTGAAGGAGCAGCAGTGCTATGCATACAGTGGGTCCTTGGTATCTTTTGGGGTTTCATTCCAGGACAGCCTGTGGAAACCAAAATCCATAGATGCTCAAATCTCATTATATACAACAGCAGCACTTGTATAGTAAAGGTTTCCCCTTGACATGAAGTCGACTCTGGGGGGTTGTGCTCATCTCAATGTCTAAGCTGAAGAGGCAGTGTTGTCCGTAGATGCCTCCTAGGTCATGTAGCCAGCATGACTGCATGGAGCACTTGTATAAGTTGGCAAAATCAAGGCCTGTCTTTGGCAGTTTTTAATAAAGTATTTTCAAGCAGTGGATGGCTGAATTGGTGGGTGCAGAATCTATTAATATGAAGGGCTGAATGTTTTTTAATAGTACCTGTAGTGCAAACAGACTCAGGTTACAGAGAAGACACTTACATGTTCCAAAGATAAGTGATGTGTGTTGGTTTGCTTTTTAGCAGTGTACAGTTTTGGCTTTGTTCTTAGTAAGTTACATCACCCTTATGCTGTGTTTCTCAAATGAGAAACTGAGGCCCAAAAGGTAGATCAATGTCCAAGCCCATTCAAGGCAATTTCCACTCTTCCGTTCCCCTGTGCTTTGAATGCATATTTGCAGAAGGCAGAAATGGAGGAAGTTGTCTGAATAAGTGTGGGGATTGTGAACAGAATGTTTTCTCTGGACTTGATCTAGAATGGCAAAGTAATTCTGTTGGTCAATCTTGCCTAAGGATTAAAATGAGCTAAAAGCGTGCCTTAAGGAAGTGAGTGCAGATGGGGTGCAGCCATGTAATTTTTTTCAAGGCTCTTCCACCTTTTCAGTGGTGCCACTTAGACTGAAGGGGTGTGGAAGCTACAATGGTTTTGCTAATCCTCATTTTGTACGGTTCCCGTGAGATGCTTAGGAGAGGACCAGATTGCATCATATGGAAGAGGCAGTCGAAGCGTAGGCTTCAGTCCTAAGGTGCATCTGCACTGTAGAATTAATGCTGTTTGACCCAAACTGCTGAGGCTCAATGCTGTGAAGTTCTGGGAGATGCAACTTGGTGAAGCACCAACACTTGTTGACAGAGAAGGCTAAAGACTTTGCAAAATTATAATTCCAATGATCCAATAGCACTGAGCTATGGAATCACTGTCAAACTGCATTAATTCTACAGTACAGATGCACCCTGGGAGACAATGATGTAAATCTCCTCTTGGAATAGCCTTGGGGCAGTGAGTGTTTCTTATCCTAATCTGCTTGCATGAATGTTCAGAGGACAAAAAAGTAGGGGAAGATCAAAAACATACATATCACATTGGAAAAATGGTCTAGAAACGTAATACAGGTAGAGTGTTACTTATCTGAAATGTTTGGAACAAGAAGTATTCTGAATTTTTGATTTGGAATGCCTTCATTTATATATACACATATAATGAGATATCTTAGAGATATCTATATTTTATATTCCCCTTATACCTGGGGGTAAATTTATAGGGCATATAACTGGTGTTGCCTGGATTAGATAATTTGTAATGCTATTTATTAGATATACTCATTTAATTTTCAATTTTATGAATCGTCCCATAATGGAACTTTTAATGAAATCGTATAGCTGATGAGCTTCAACTCCCATCAGCACTAGATCTGGCCTGGCTGCATCTTCAGATGTGACTGGATTCCAACTCCCATCATCCTGAATTAGCTCCCCCTCCCCCAACTCAACAGTATTTTAACTTGGATCATGATGGGTATGTGTACCAAGGTTTGTCTCTATATCCATTGTGGTTTGGATTCACATCACTCTATCTGGATGTGGTTGACCTACAACTCCCATCATTTTCTATCACCCCCCCCCCCCCCCCCAAAAAAAACCCAGAATGTTTTAAGTTGGATCATGAAGAGTATGCTTCCCAAGTCTGGTACAGATCTATTATCAGTGGTAATGATGCAGATCTCCAGATGCTGGTGGGCTCCAACTCCCATCATCCTCTTATAAATCCTATTGTGAACACCATTTTTGGTAACCTATTAGGTTTTATGTGTTGACTCAACTTTCAACCATTGATCTAGGCAATTTATTCCAATTGGGACCAATCAGTAAGTACCAGATAATGAACACAGTTGGTCCTTTATATTTGCAGATTTGACTTTTGCAAAATTGATTATTCATGGGTTTGGTTTTGCAAATTTGATTATTCAAGATTTTTTTTTCTAGAAATCTCTAGGTCTTCCAATGTGACTTTGTGGTAATCTTTCTCCTGTCATGCTGGAGGACCTAGAGATCCTATAGAAAACAGATTTCTAAGCATATCTGTGTCCTACAGTGTGATGCTATCTTCAATTAATAGAAACCGTTCTCTCTGGTTAAAGAAAGCATTTTATTCATGACTAGCTGTACCCACCGTGCATTGCTGTGGCCAACCTTTCCCTCCCTCTTTCCTCTTCTTCCTTTCTCCTTTCCTTCCTTCCTTCCTTCCCTCCCTCCCTCCCTCCCTCCCTCCCTCCCTCTTTCCTTCCTTCCTTCCTTCCTTCCTTCCTTCCTTCCTTCCTTCCTTCTCTTCTCTTCCCTTCCTCCCCCCTTTTCTTTCCCTTCCTCTTTCTCCCCTTTCTCCCTTCTCTACCTATTCTTGGACTGCAACTCCCAGCAGTCCTCCTGATCAATCAATCTACCTATGTACCTACCTATCTCTATCTAATCTATCTATCTGGGGGATTGCTGAGAGTTGCAGTCCAGGAATAGGAAATTGGAAGTATTCAGGGATTGGAATGCTCTCAAAGAAATCCAAGGAGAGGAAAGCTTGCAGGTTGTGCATTTGGATCCTTCTAAAGGGCTTGGTCTAGTGAATTCTGGGAGCTGTAGTCCAGAAGAGAGTGTGGATATGTTATTGTATGTTTTGTTTGCCAGGGGGAGTCGTTTTTGCACTTGCGCTGTAGCATCTTTTTCCTTTTTTGGCTTTATAGTCAAAAAAGCAAAAAGATGTGTTTTTCTGTGTTTTTATGTGTGATGGTCACTCATTGGCCTGATAGGTGTATTGTGTCCAAATTTCATGTCAATTCATCCAGTGGTTTTTGAGTTATGTTAATCCCACAAACAAACATTACATTTTTATTTATAAAGATTTTTCACTTTCACTGGGTCCTGTGCCAACTGATCTTAGCAAACGCAGAGTGCTGATTATGTAGCAGAAGATCATCTGCTATTAGAAATGTTATGTAGTTAGCTTTTCCCCCCTGCTGCCCCAGAGTCTAAAACTCAAACTAGTGGATTCAAATGACAAGAAACAATATTTCTCTGAAAGAATAGAAATAAGGTCTTGACTGTAATTACCTTAGTAATTAAAACATTTTGACTGTAAGAGCTGTTTGACAGTGGAACAGACTGCCTCAGTAGTGATGGATTCTCCTTCTCTGGAGATGCTTACATAGTTTGGTTCCATCTTCTAGAAGTGTTTAAATGGCATTTTCTTAGATTGTAAGAGGTTGGAATGGAGGGCCCTTGCAATCCCTTCCAACTTTATGATTCTATGATAGCCTTAACATTTTTAGAGTGTTGCCTCTACCAAGAAGGCCATTTAGAAGGCAAAGTGAAGGAACTTTCTTACCTTCTTCAAGAAGGAGGTAAGAAAAACAGGTGAAAGAAACTAAGAGGGTAGATTGCAACTTGTAGACTGTGGATAGCAACTGTAAAAAGAAACAATGTATGCGG